GAAATAACACAATGATATAGTGAGGGGTGGATGTACTGAAAACACAGTTTGCTAAATTGATGGTAGCTGTAAAAAAAATCACTTTAGTGAACACACATATGTCAGTTAAAATAGCTGAGGGGTGACAGAGGAAGGGTGCATAGCAACTGAGAAAGTGTACCTATAATTGTACACCTGTATTTGCTGTAAATGAAAGTTTAAAAAAATAAATCTATACATTTTGTACTATTTTGTACAAAATGTTTTAAGAAAAATCTACTTTAAAATATGGTTTCTCAAGCTATCAACCTGTCAATGAATTGTTGGTATATAGTGCTACAATTAAATTGAAACACCAGACCCCTAAAGCCCTTTAGCTTGATGAAAAGCCTAATGTGCGAAGAACATGTCTTCTTTTTATATTTTGGAAATAGTGCAGATTTCAACAGAAATTGCCAATTTTATAAATTATACTGGTTACACCCATCTGGCTTTTCACGTAGACAGCATGTCTTGTTACTTCCTGGTTTCTTTAGCTTATTTGCACTGTGTGGCAAACCTAGCCACTTGTAATACTCTGGACTATGTGCATAAAAAGGTTGTCTGTACTAATCCCTGTAACTTTATGTATAACCTGGATTTACACTGTGTGTTACTGTATGTTTGCATTGAATTCGTATGCTTGCAGCCGAAAGCCGCTAGCATTCATGTGTTTCGTCTCATGAACAGCAACCTTACAGGCTTTTCGTGAACCGAATGAGCTACCCCCTAATAGCCCACACACAGAGGGACGTGTGGCGCTCATTAACCGATTGCAACAGTGTTGCAATCGGTAATTATAGGCTTTCCTAGGTGGCCGTCGTTCAGCTACCGACCACGCGGCGGTCGGACATCTTGGATCCTTTGTCTCACCAGCGGGGTTTGGTCGTCGAGTGCGTGGAACTGAAAACGGCTGCTCGACGGCGCGAACCCTGCTGGACTTCCAGGCCGTTCGGGAGCTACGGTATTCCCCTATTACAGTTCCCCATCGGTGTTCGGTACTTTCAGATGAACTCATGGGCAAAGTGTATTTTGTGCGGCGTTCGGTTGTTTTAGCTGGGATCTGAGTGGTATTCTCACGAAAGGTGCGCTCAGACCCCAGCTATCTACCGAACGTCCATTCGTTTAAATCACTCAAGTATTATAAAAGTTATACATTTTAATGTGAAACGCCGGTTCTGCTGCACGGAGGGATAATCCACTTAACGGTACATTCCAGTGGGAGTATCCCTCTCGTCCAGCAGTGCCTGATGGGAGAAAAGGGCTGAATGTTAAGTCCCCCATGTAGTCCCCTACTGTACAACCCATGCCATGTCAGTAAGGAAACCCCTTGCATGGGGACTTGCATAAATACTGGATGATGTGAATAAACAACTCAGTTCACTCCCAGAACTGTGGCCTGTCCGGTTACTGGGGGATTTGGGATATTGCCTTACTTTTCAACGCTGACTGTGGATTACCTTCTTTACCAGCGGAGATCGTGGGATTTAATATTGCCGCTCCGCTACACACTGCAATCAAGAGGCAGTAATTGCCCAGAGCAAATACTTCTCATTGAGCTGCATTGGGAAGTCTGTGATTGGACAGCTACAGAAAGTCTCGGCGGGGTTAGGAGGGGAGGGTTTGGAAAAGCAGCAGACTAGAGAACTGCGGCTTTTACAAGCTGTTATATATTTACCCTCAATGAAAAAATGCTTAATTAAATGTATGCAAATTTTCATTTTGAGCATATGGACTAATCAATGATTTTTATTTATTGTGTATTTGTGCAGTGGAGTGTCCATTTAAGTGACCGGAGAAGAAGGTTCTCCTCCTTTTCTTGATAAAAACTATAGTGCATGTGCTGTAGTTGCTGTGAACACTTCTCTAGCGGGTAGGCCTTGTGCTTTGACAGAGTTGTATGGGGCGGAGTGACAGATCACGCACTCTTCTAAGCTGATGCGTTAGCAGTGAAACCTCACAAATCCATCTTAAAAACTTTTCTTATGCAAGATGCTACCAAGGAACTTGTCCATGCTCTAGTAATTTAGAGCATGGATTATTGTAACCCTCTCCTAATTGGTCTTCCCAAAAGCCATATTGCCCTGCTACAGTTGTTAATGAATGCTACCGACTGATTTTCCTCTCTAGACAGTCAGTCCTCTCACACCTCACCCCTCTGTCAGTCCTTACATTGGCTTCCTGTATCCTATAGAAGTCAATTCAAATTGCTAACCCATACCTATAAAGCACTGAACAGTTCTAGCCCCGTGACCTTCTCCTGTCCGTTGCTCGCACCCGAATGGCCAACTCACGCTTGCAGGACTTCTCACAGACGACTCCGTTTCTATGTTATAGCCCGCCATCAGACTCTCTCGTAGTCTTCAATCTTTTAAGAAGTGCCTTAAAACCCATCTCTTTAGGAAAGCTTATGCCCTCCCAGAGTAACCTCTACCTCACATACCTGTCTCTTGCGCTCTCCTAAAGGGCAGTGCTTTACTCTCTCCTCCAGCTCTGCTTCACTCCCACCTTATTTGATTTCTATTTCCTGTCCTAATGTGTTCTATACCCCACCTCCTATAGACTGTAAGCTCTTTTGAGCAGGGTCCTCTTCAACCTATCGTTCCTGTAAGTTTTCTTGTAATTGTCCTATTTATAGTTAAATTCCCCCCTCTCATAATATTGTAAAGCACTACGGAATCTGTTGGCGCTATATAAATGGCAATAATAATAATAATAGTGTGTGTGTATAGGGACTGTGGTATGTATAGATAGGGGCTGCAGTGTGTGTTGGGGAATTGGGGATGTAACGTACCTGTGTAAGGGGGTAGGGCAGTAGTATGTGGAGGGATAGGTGCTTAACTCTTTGATAATTGCAAGGATTGTTTCTACTCTATGCAAAGATTATTTTTGCTGTCCCATTATACTGTCCCCCTACCATTTCAGTGTCCTTTTTCCTCACCAGTTTATTTCTGTCTTTCCACTATTCCCTGTTATTCACACTTTTTTCTATTCTTTTTTTTCCCTGTCCTATGTGGATCTTTGCTCCGCCCCCTCTTTCTCTTGATATGTCCTGCTTATCTCTCTGCCCTCTCTTCACTGCTGTCTCTTGATTCCCCAATCTGATATATTTTCATTGATTTTGTAGTGTATGATTTAGGGCTGTATATTGGGTGGGGGTTTAATATATTGTAAATAAAGCTTATGTGTGTAGGCATTCAGTCTGACCCAGATATAAACACTTATATTGCACCCAGGGCCGAACTGGGAAAAAAATTCGACCCGGGCATTTTTCAATCACAGCGGCCCCCTGAGAAAGGAGCGGGGCCAGAGAGGGTGTGTTTTGTCATCAAAGTGAGCATTTTAGTTCAATGCGCAGGGCCCTGCTGAAGAGCTCTAGCATGGGAAAAATGCCTTGTATTTGTTCTGCACAGCGCAAGCAAATTTAATAACATGCTTGTGGTGTGTTTGCTTTTGACTTGTCTCTGGTGTCTCCATAAGTGGGATACCAGAGGACAAAAAGGCCAAAAAAGCATATGGTGCATGTGTTTCGAGCCTGCTTGTGGGATTGCGTGTGTGTTGAGTAAGCTGATTGTGGTGTGGTATTGTGTAAATAGGTCAATTTAATTCGTGTTTCTGGTGTAATATGTGTGGCTAGGGTCTGTAGCGAGTGTTTACAGGGGGCATAGTGTGTATAGGGGATGTAGTGAGTGTGTGCATACAGGCTGTAGTGTGTGTAGGGGTTGTAGAGAGTGTGTGTTTAGAGAATGTAGTATGTGTTTGCTTACAAAGAATGTAGTGTGTGCATAGGGGATCCAGAGTTTGTATGTCAGGAATGTAGTGTGGGTAGGTGGTGCAGTTTGTGTAGGGGATCTAGTGTGTATAGGAGATTGTGTGTGTGTGTGTATATATATATATATATATATAGAGGATTCAGAGTGTATATAGGGTAAGGGATCTAGTGTGTATCTGGAGCGTAATGTGTGTAGTGGTGCTGTAGTATATAATATTGTAAAGCGCTACGGAATCTGTTGGCGCTATATAAATGGCAATAATAATAATATTACGCATGCTGCACCCTTCACACAGCACACCCAACACACTGCGCCCTTCACACATACAATACGTCCAAACACACATATATATATATATATATTTATTTGGATGTATTGTATGTGTGAAGGGCACAGTGTGTTGTGTGTGCTGTGTGTATGTGTGAAGGGTGCAGAATGTGTGTGAGGATTGCAGTGTGTGTGTAAGAGGGGTGCTGTGTGTGTGTGATGGTGTTCTTATCTACTGTCACATTTTATGTTTCTTTTATGTTTTTTTTGTCTGTTAACTTACTGAGGGTTATTTTATATATTATACATACGTGTGTGTGTGTTGTATATGTGTGAGAGTGTGCTGTGTGACTGAAGGTGATGTGTGTGTCTGAGGGTGCTGTGTAAGTGAAGGTGCTGTGTGTCTGAGGGCGCTGTGTGTGTGTGTGTGTGTCTGAGGGTGCTGTGTGTGTCTGAGGGTGCTGTGTGTGTGTGGGTGCTGTGTGTGCTGTCTGTGTCTGAGGGTGATGTCAGTATGAGTGTTTGTATAAATGTTTTTTTTATTTAAACTAAAAACTATGTACCCCCCCTTCTTACCTTTAGGCTGGGAGAGGGGGGATCCTTGCTGCCTTCCCTGGTGGTCCAGTGGTGAGGGTGAACTCTAGCCTGCAGGTAACCGCGGTGACGCTCAGACCTCACGAGAGGACCAGGCGGAGCTGCTGGCTAGAGCGCCGCCGGTCCTCTCCTCCCTTCCTCCTTCCCCAGCCGGCGGCCGCATCTCAGTGCCTGTGGGCCGGTGAGGGAGATCATTGATCTCCCCACCGGCCCACAAAGGCACACAGCAGGGCCGGCGCCCGGATAGCGCTGGCCCTGCAGGGGCTGGCAGGAGAGATCCTGTGATCTCCCCTGCGGGCCTCGGCCCCACTGCCATCGCGGCCCACCGGGCATTTGCCCGGTATGCCCGATGGCCAGTCCGGGCCTGATTGCACCGCTGCAATCTATTATGAATGCAGCGGCATGGCTCATTTTCCTGTTCGCCCGCACCTCCCATGCCTCCCCCCCCCCCTCTGTCAGTCCCTACATTGGCTTCCAGTTAAATATAGGGCTTAATTTAAGATTCTGGTACTTGCTTCTAACTCCCTACATAATGCTGCTCCAACCTACCTATGCTCCCTCATACACAAGTATGTCCCGTCCAGGCTCCACCTTTTCTGTATAACTCCCTTCCCTCTCCGTAAGACTTTCACCCAGTCTCCACTCCTTCAAAAAAAATCTTTGAAAACACACTTCTTCAGGAAAGCATATAACTGAAACTGTTAGCGGATTTTCATCTTCCCCAGGCCCCTCCCCCATGACTCCTCTCCTGCAACTTTCAAAAATAACCTACCAAGTTCTTAGTGAATACTTTTCTAGTAACCTATTTTATTACCCCTACTTATACCTTTTGTGTAACTATACCCCACTCCCTCTAGCATGTAAGCTCATTGAGCAGGGCCCTCAACCCCTCTGTTCCTGTACATCGATTTGTCTCGTTACAATTACGTGTCTGTTAGTCCACCCATTGTATAGCACTACGGAATTTGTCTGGCGCTATACAAATAATAATAATAATAATAAGAAGAAAGTGCATACAAATACACTGACATATTTTCATGTGCGTACCAGTGTTCATTTTGGCAGCAAATATCAAATTCGTTTTAGCCATAGTCTTTTGACTAAAAAGCAATTTTAGTTTTAGTCGTATTTTAGTCATCTGAATTTTATTAATGACACGGAGGCTCATATTATGCTTTCTCTTTCTTTTATTATTCTCCTCAGCAGCAAGAATTTAACTTTAAAGAGAATAAAAACGAAATAACATAAGTAATCTGCCTAGTAACAGGGCAGCCAATCATATACACTTATCAACATTAAGTGTCTTGAACAGTCTTCTAACTTCCTCTTTCTTGCTGCTCCTCAGATCAGATAAGTGATTTTTTTTTTTTCTGTACTCTTTACTTTTTCATTACACACATAATATTTGTTTCTATCACTTTAAAATGTCTTAAATGTTTAATGTTTATTCGTTTTACATGTTGTCCCTGTTTCAGGGATCAGTGTTTTTTCCTACACTGCTGTGCTTAACTTCAGGCGTTTTTTTTTCCCTCTCTCCCTGGCTTTCACTAACTGCCAGGGCTGAGAGGTGCCTGACAGGCTGTGAGACCGCACCGCCTGCGCGTCTGCGGTCTCACTAGTGCCCTCCCTCCCTCCCTTCTGTGTAATTGCCGGCACCCGCTTAGAAATCCCAGCGGGTGCCGAGCAGCTCTGTCTCTCTATTTCCCCGCCGGGTTTACTTCCGCCCGGCGGTCTGGGGCCGCGGGGAGTTCTCTCCTCGCGGCCATTACTGGAGGGGGGGTGGAGCAAGTTCACCTTCGGCGCGCTTCTCTTCTCTGAAGCGCGGGAAGGCTGAACGGCTCCTAGTTGCTCCTGCTGTCTTCGGGGGGCAAGGTTGTATGTTATATTTTTCCCTATCTTGCTTCCAAGGGTTAATCAACCCTTTCTCACTACTTTTCTGATAGCCTTACTGTTTTTCTTTGCTTGTTTTGTTCCCCTGTTCAAAATTTTTCTGCACTTTAGTCCTTAACTGACTGTGTGCTGGGAGTTTGTTTTCTGGGTTGATTTAAAGGCATCTCTCCCAATTCCAAAAAAAAAAGGCGGATTTTTGTTTTGTTAAAGACATTACTGAGAGTTACTCAAAAAAAAAAAAAAACCCCCTGTGTTATTTATCCAGATCTGTCTCCCTGCCTAGCACACCTATTCAGTCATTCCCATTTGTGGGCATTCCGTTATCAGTGCCTTGGATAATAACATGCAAAATCACGGGGATGGACATGGGGGCCCTGGATGCCCTAATATAGAGAATACCTTACCCACCCCTGGCCTAGACCCGGGTCATTTACCCTCTCAGGAATTCCAGTCTCTCCTGGAATCAACTATGGCCGGTTCGGTCCAGCGAGCCTTGGCTTCAGCCATGGGCTCTGTGTCCACCTCCCTATCCCATTCCCTGGCCCAGGCACTCATGTTGCCCCCTGAAGTGCAACCTACTATAACGGCCCAAACTGATGTACCAGTCCCTGCGGCCCGCAAGGCAAAAGCCAAAACTAAGCATACATCAACGCTCCCACTGATGCAGGTCTCCCCTGCCATGACTGACCCGCCTATGGCTGTCCTAGATGGCATGTTGCCACGCACAAGAGCCACTGGTCGGGCGCAAGCGGCCAGAAATTGGAAACGGCACGTGCCCAATACGAAGAGTCAGATTCTGACCATAGTGAGGAGATGGGGTCGGACGACCCGGATTATATTTACAATGATATGGGTTCCGACTCAGATGAAGAGTCTAGTCCTGTAGTGGAACCGACGGGTGTGGAGGATGGTGTTCGGGACCCTCAGGGGTATCCCCTGTTCGACCCGGACAACCTCCGCCACCCTCGCTCGGCGGAGTGGGACCCGCCAACGCACATTGCGCAGTATCTGGCGCTCCGTCTGCGTACCCCTCTCTCTAACGAGAGTAGCAATAAACTCCGAGCGGAGTGTCCCAGACCCTCTGTGCCGGACATGGCCTGCAAACCCCCCATGGTGGACCCACATATCGCCCAATTCCTCTCCAAATCTGTCTGGAAGCCCAAGAAGGGGCTGGAGTTCTCACTCCACAGTTGTCAAGACAAAATACTAGACACCCTGGGGCCAACCACAAAATTATATGAATTACTCGAATCCGCTAAAGCGGGAGAGTCCACCATTGATTTCGATGTAGCCATCGGATGGGTCCAACGGCTTATCTGCTTGTTGGGTAATGCCAACACAGCCATCTCGGCGGAACGCCGTAAATCAATTTTACTTAAGATTGAACCGAAGTTGATTAACTTGGCAAATAGAGAACCTGGACCCACAGCCCAGGGGATGTTATTTGGAGAGTCCTTTGTCAAGGACATCGGGACTTTTGTCAAAACTTTTACCACTTTAGATAAGGCTCAGGCCAACCTTAAGAGAGTGTTTAACCCCAAGGTTTTACACGGGGCCGGGAGATCTAGGAGCCGTCCACCCGGCCGAGTCTATCGGGGCCCCTCCAGGGTCCATAGAGGCTCCTTCGGAGCGCCCCGCACATACCCGGAGTTCCGGCCATCGCCCTTCTTTCCGTCCAGGGGACGTCCATGGACTTCTCGGGGAAGCCGCAGGCAATCTACTTACAGGCGACCTTACGGTAAGTGCAATTTCTCTCATTCCTCCACATCTACACATAGGGGGCAGACTCGCGCTGTTTGCGCATACATGGGACGAGCTCACAAAAGACGCTTGGGTGTTACAGACTGTCAGAGGTTTCTATCTCGACCTTATATCTACCCCATTCCAAATCCATGTCCCAAGAGAACGGACATTGGCCCCAGACCAAACCAAACTCATAACAAAGGAGATTACAGAACTCCATACCAAACGGGCAATCCAAGAGATCCCATACGATACACCAGGTTTTACCAGCAACCTATTTTTGGTAGCCAAAAAAGGCGGAGGTATGCGGCCAGTCATAAACTTAAAGGAACTCAATGCGTTCCTCGCATACCAACACTTCAAAATGGAAGGCATTCATTGCCTCGGGGATTTACTACAACAGGGAGATTGGATGGTCAAATTGGACCTCAAGGACGCGTACCTCACCGTCCCTATTGCGGAGGCACACTGGGACCTCTTGCATTTCACATGGCAAGGGCGACGTTGGAGATTTACATGTCTGCCCTTCGGTCTGTCGTCAGCGCCTGGTGCTTCACGAAACTCATGAAGCCTGTGGTAGCCTTTCTCAGAGCACGAGGAGTTCATCTGATCATATATCTGGACGATATTTTATTCATGGCATCCTCACAAGACCAAGTACTGCTCCACCTACAGTGGACCATCACGTTACTCGAGACTCTGGGTTTTTTGATAAATTGGGAGAAATCCATAACCAACCCAGTCCAAAAGATAGAGTTCCTGGGATTCCAGATCGACGCAATCTCACAATTCTTACTCCTCCCGGAAACGAAATTGAAGGCCATCAAAAAAGAGATCAGGCGCACATTACGAGCTCAATCTCTCTCTATTCGACAACTAGCTCGAGTATTAGGACTACTGGCTTCCTCGATACAAGCCATCTTCCCAGGGCCTCTACACTACCGAGCCCTACAACGGCTAAAAGGTTCTCACCTCAGGTCCGGCCGTTCATACGAATCCGCACTAGTCCTGGATGTAGAGTCACGGGAGGAACTGAGATGGTGGCTAGACCATATGGAGGCGTGGAACGGCCGAGCAATATTCGGAACCAGCCCGGACCTGATTATAGAATCGGATGCAAGCCTCCATGGCTGGGGCGCGCGTTGTGGCAACATATCCACCGGTGGCAGATGGTCCATGGAAGAATCCACGATGCACATAAATTGCCTGGAACTTCTGGCAGGATCGTTCGCCATCCGCAGTCTCTCCCCTACGATAGGGAGATGTTGTATACTGCTCCGTATGGACAACATCTCGGCAGTCCGTTATATCAATCATCTCGGAGGCACCAAATCCAAGCGACTAGCAAACCTAGCGAAGGAATTTTGGCAGTTTTGCCTTCGGAACGAGATTGCGGTGACAGCAGAACACATTCCGGGCTTAGACAACGTACAAGCGGACTGGAATTCCAGATATCTGCGAGATCCGGGAGACTGGCGTCTTCTCCGCTCTGCCTTTTGCCAAATAGACGAATTGTGGGGACCACTGGACGTGGACCTCTTTGCATCCAGACTGAACAGTCACCTGCCTCGATACTTCTGGCGACCAGATCCAACAGCCTCGGGGACGGATGCTTTCCTGCAGACGTGGACGAAATCTCGGCATTATGCATTTCCCCCTTTCAATCTCATTTCCAGGACACTATCATACCTATGCACACAGGACTGTTCACTAGTGATAGTGGTTCCACTATGGCACGCTCAGCCGTGGTTTCCTCGTCTACTAGAAATGACAATCGACTCTCCACGAGTAATACCATCAGAACCAGACTTGCTATTGGACCCAGAGGGGAATCCGCACAACCTAATCAATCAGGGCCTGCTGCAACTCACGGCCTGGTTGATTTCCGGAGTCCCTGGACATTCACAGACATTCCACAGGCGGTTACAAGACTCATGGACAACTCCTGGGCCCCAGGGACCAGAGCGGCCTATAACTCTGCATGGCGAGTGTGGGCTAGCTGGTGCATGGAACGGTCAGTGGATCCGGTTTCAGCACCTCTGAAAGACGTACTGGAGTTTTTGACGTCCCTTTTCGAAGAAGGAAGAGCGTATCGTACCATTAACGTGTACAGGTCGGCGATCTCTGCAGGACACCGAGACCTGGAGGGCTCTCCGATCGGTCAGCATCCCTTCGTTTGTAGACTCCTGAAAGGGATACGCTTTGAGAAACCTCCACAGACCCGCTATTCTTCATTCTGGGATGTCAACATTGTCTTACACTTCTTGGAAGAATGGAGGCCAAATGAGGAACTCTCCCTTAAACACCTGTCTTGGAAACTGCTGACTCTGTTATGCTTACTGTCCTGCAAGAGGATATCGGACGTGCGAGCTTTGGACTGGGACGCATTATCATTCACCCCAGAGGGCGTATCATTCTCCATATCGAGACGAACTAAAGGCAACACAAAATCCATCTCTTACCCGAGATACCTGGGACATCCTTCACTATGCACGGTCAGATGCCTTCGGGCCTACCTGGATCGTACTCAGAGGTTACGCTCACCGGCATCAAGGCAATTATTCATATCCTTCCGAACCCCTTTTCTACCAGTGTCCACGCCCACGTTAGCTCGTTGGGTCAAGAACCTGTTAGCATTAACAGGAATTGACACTTCGAAATTCTCTGCACACTCGGTGAGAGGCGCAATGGCATCCAAGGCGTCCACGATTGGTTGTCGCCTCGAGGACATATTAAAGGCGGCTGATTGGTCACAAGTATCGACGTTCAGAGAATTCTATTTTCGGCCAATTGAACATATCTCTCTGCAGGTAGTGGCCAAGCTTTGAACTAGCATAATATGAGCCTCCGTGTCATTAATAAAATTCCAAGATTTTACTAGTAACATGACGTAAAGTCATGATTTTATTAATGACACGGAGGCGAGTATTATCCCCACGCACCCACCCGGTGGGCGTGATACAGTCTATAAGGAGAGTCTTAAGACTCTCGCAAAGGTAAGTAACAAGGAGTTTCAAGGGCATGTACACCGTCCTTTTTATGTACACACAACTTGTTTTACCAGTTTGTTATATCAATTGTAAGGAACATAAGGAATAAGGATAACATACAGTTCCAAAGTTTGGATTTTACCGTACATTCTCTTTGTTTCCACAGCGTAACGTACTGGACACTGTCTGGGTGGAATACCCGAAGTTATGGAAAGTTACGACGGCTCTTCGTCGACACAGACAAGAAAGAGGAAGTTAGAAGACTGTTCAAGACACTTAATGTTGATAAGTGTATATGATTGGCTGCCCTGTTACTAGGCAGATTACTTATGTTATTTCGTTTTTATTCTCTTTCAAGTTAAATTCTTGCTGCTGAGGAGAATAATAAAAGAAAGAGAAAGCATAATACTCGCCTCCGTGTCATTAATAAAATCATGACTTTACGTCATGTTACTAGTAAAATCTTGGAATTGTTTTTGTTTTAGTCTACTTTTAGCCGACTAAATCTCAAAAATGTTAGTCGACTAAAATAGTTAGACGACAAAATTAACACAGATGCACATACATACAATGACATATTTACATATACACAGATAGAGTAACATATTTACACACATCCGTAAATCCATACATTTGCATTTACATAGCCACATTTCTTCTTAGAATGTGACAACAAACTCTTGTCACTGTATAAAATGACCATTTATAGTCCCTTTACAGATCTTCGTACCTGTGCTCCAACATAAAGTGCACTGCATCATGTGGCCATTCACAGGGCACCTGGAAGAAAGTCATGCAGCATTTCAGCAGGGTGTCCGTCCCGGCCCCCGGAGATGCAATTAGATGATGGGGCTACCCATCAGCCCTCTGCAGGAGGGTCAGCACTGTCAGACCCAACCAGG